TATTATTATTATTATTATTATTATTATTTTTTATTATTATTATTACTGTACAGTATTATGTTTCTCATTCAATATGTGAAAGACCAAATTAGAATGATAACACACAAATAGGTAATTTAATTTCATAAACTATTTTTTCTCTCTTAGTCCGAATACTTTTCTCAGCTCTCTAAACCAGCCACTATTAGTCAGGTAGTTGGACGTGAGATATTAGACTGTAAAGGCCAGCCCACTATAGAGATTGCTGTGTATTGTATTCTAAATGGAGTTGAGAAGGTAAAAACTATAAGCATTGAAAAAATAGAAGTTATATAATTACAAAATGAAAATCACACTGTTTTTCAAAATTTCTGTTCTGCTATGTTTATGTCTTGACAGTTGTTTTGGAGAGCTCGCTAACAGTGATCTAGGATCTCTAGAGCATGTTTGAGCAACCCAGTCCAGCACAAATGTCAGTTACTATGTGATGGTCATTGATTGTAAATTTGGTTGTAAGGTACTTTGGGGTGTGTCAATTGATTTCTGGGAGGCACCTGACTTAGAGATGATGGCTGCCCATTTGAGTTTTGTTCAGTTTATTTTACTGACACATACAATTTACAGATTAATTCTAGAAGCAAACTTTGATTAAAAACTGTGTTCCTCCTGTGAGACATATCTACAACAGTGGATTGGAAATATACCTTGAACCTGTACTGGTCTGTATTTGTTTAGCAAGATGTCTTGTCTTTATAAGCATATACAGTATAAAATTAGATTCAGGAAAAAATCTAAATACAGGTACTATTAAACACATTAACAATTTTACCAAAGACTTTAGTACATTACCTTGATTTTACAGCATTTTTCCAGATAGTTGTAATCACATTCCACACCCTAAAGGTACAGTATCTGTGGTAAAGATAATGTAGTTCCTGTATTTGGTAATTAATGTAATATATCTTGTGTTATCTTGTCATATGTTTAGTTGGTGTGCACATGCAAGGCATCTAGCTTTACGTCCTTACCAGAAGGTGCTTCATTGGAAAAGAAAGAGGTTGAGGAAAAAGAGAGATCCAAATCCATCACATCTGCTTTGAAAGTCATCGATGAGTGTATAGTGCAAATTCTAAAAGGTGTACAACCTTCCAATCAGAATGAAGCTGACAAATTGTTAAGGTACTGATTAATTGTTAAGTTACTGTTATAGAATGCACTTTTCAGTGCCTTTTAACTTCCAGATTCGAAAGTTTTTAGACCTGAGCCCTCAATGGAAAACAGTTTTCCATTTTCATATTTTAATTTGTTTTTATCCTGGGTTCAATTCCTGTTACATGAATTCTTCTCACAAATAATAACTCCCAAATCCTCATAATAATATAAGCATAAGTTTACATAGAGCATCTTCTGTGTGTTTGCCTTGAGTAATCTTGTTATTGGCATTACGCTGTTGGATGAAATAATATATAACTAACTCTTCCATTAGGATGGTATATTAGTGATATTATATTTTACTATATTTTTAGTAAAATTTTAGGAGTTTTAGGATTTATCTTGTTTCAGTGAACTTGCAGAGAAGTTGCAGAAGGAACATGAAGAAACTTTAGCAACACAGAAAGAACAAGGAAGCGAACCTTTATTAACTGCTGCAAAAGGCCCAGCAAAGGAGGGGAAAGTGTCGTCAGCAAGAAGCAAAAAGAAGTCTGGAAGTGCCCGCTCTGGAGTGGTGGTTATAGAGGAACCAAAAGAGATGATGGCACCAGGTTGTGATGCCTTCTGTGTCTCATCTCAGGCTGTTGCTAGAGCTGCTGCTTCTATCAAGAACCAACCCTTGTACCAATACCTTGCACACCTGTACTCCAACCAGGTGAGAACATTTTGGGTCAAGTTTACCATATCTTGAACCTGCATTTCATTCATGGAAACATATTGAGTTCTTAATCATGTGGTGGTGTGCTGTGCTGTAATATAATAGAATTTTTGGCCAATTAGTGCAACCGCCGCCTCGAAAATGGAAATTTCAGAAAAAAAAAGTTTTTCTTTATTTTGATCACGCCTGCCGCTGCCTTGATATCTCCAAAAATAAGATGTATATTTCTTGCAATTTATATAAATTTAAAGCATTTAACCATCCATTAAACCATTATTTTCTCCTCTGTCTGGATGTTTTTGGCAAAACATTTGTTAAATGAAAAACCAAAAATTTTGTTTTTCTGCCCTCCTCTGACTATCTTTAAAAGAATAAGTTTGCGAAACAAGGTATACAGAAGTCTCAGCTAACCTCATTTATAAGTAGGTGTACAGTACATCATAACATTCAAAAGCATTAAAGACATTTAGTTTTATATTTTGGACTTTATATTGTACAAAACTGTATTTTTCTTCATAAACTAGTAAGTACAGTATGAGGAATAGGGAGTGGAGTTGTCGTCTCTTATACACATCT